CAAGTTAATTTTTATTCTTATATTTTTTATAATTTTATTTATTAATAAATATGACTTATTTTCTCTATGTATGAATTCAAATAAGTTTTTTTTATGCTTGTTTTTATTTGCTTAATTCTTATATAATCAAATTTCAAAAATTGAATATATGTATTTTATTTTCTTATTTTTTACATAATCAAGTTTTATCAAAATCAGTTTTATAGTTTTTACTGTACTTTATTAACTTCAATATATATTTTACCAATTAATTTTTTTTATACATTCTCACCAATTGAGTACGGTCATAATGTATAAAAAATAATAACATTAAAGTCATTGATATTATTAAAAATGAACTATGCATCTATACACACAATACCAACTATTTGCTATTATTTTTTTTAATATTGAAAATGATTTTTCAAATAAAATAATTAAAATAATATTTTAGAATAACCGCCTAATAATTTAAATACAATTTTCTATACTGATATTATTCATTATTTTGTAAATAAATATATATAAATCAAATGTATATATTTTAAAAAATAATCTTCTCATTAGTAAAAAAGTTTCATTTGTTAATTTTCATTAAAAAAATTTTATACTAATTGTTGCTTTATTTCTTCGATCCAATGTAATGAAAAAAAACATTAATATGTTTTTAAAAATTTTATATTAAAATTTATTTATTATGGGTTTTTATTTAAGAATAAATGCATAAAAAAGAACAAATCATATTTTTTGACTTCAAAATTTATTCAAAACATAAAAAAATATACATATATAGATACAAAATTTTGATAAAAAAATTATAAAATTATATATAATTTTATCTTTTATATTTGATTTAATATATTTTAATTAACCAACAACATAATATATGTTATCAAACTGAAATAAATATGTTTGGTTCGGTCCGCAACGTAGCGCTAGAATCCGAACTCGTTCATATGTTTAAAATTTATATTCATTTTTTTTCACATGCATAAAACTACTATTCATTTTGTGGTAATTTAAGTTATTTTTTTGTATGGTTTTTTTGAGTGTTTTTGAGCATTAATATGCAAATTTAACACTTTTCTTTTCCGTCCCTTATGTTGTAACATTTTTTTTTCAATCTTTAGTTTTCATTTTTCTTTCATTTTCATACAGCGTATATATATGCACTATCTTTTTATATTTTAAAATTAATATATATTTCAACTTAAATTACTCTTATCATCATTTAAATTTCATTTTGTGAATTTATCATTTTTTTATAAAAATTATCATCTAATTAATAAAATTTTATATAAAATTTTATTTACCGATAAATATAATTTATTGTTCTCTATATTTGAATTTTAAAATAAAATTTAAAACATGATTTTTTTATTTTTTAAAAATAAATTAATATAATGTATAACATGAATTCTTAGAATTTTTAAATAATAGTTGTGCATATATAAATATATAATTTTTTATTCTAAAATGTTAAAAGTATATTTCAAATAATTTGTTTCGAGTTCGCTAGGTATGATCAAGACATATAGAAAAACTATTGAATCGTTGATTTTATAAAAAATTAATATACGTCTTCCAAAATAATACAAATTATTTACTATGAATATTTTTTGACGTTATAAAACCAATTTATTTGAAATAAAATAATTAAAATAATTTTTTAAAGGAACCAACCAATTATTCAAATATATTTTTTATGCTAATTTTATTGATTATTTTGTAAATAAATACATATAGATCTAATGCATATACTTGACAAAAAAATATTCTTCTCAACAACATTAAATAAGAATAAAATTTTATTTTTTCATTGGTTAATTTTTATGCAACTCTATACATTAATTGTAATTTTATTTTTTAAATACATTATTATAAAAAAATATATAATTTTAAATTATTTTCTTTTGAATTCTTAATTATTATTTCAGGTTTAAATTATTACAAGTTTTTATTTAAGAATCCCTAAATAAAAAAGAATAAATCATTTTTTTAGCGGAAATTTTATAAAAAACATACAAAAAAAGAAAAATAGTAATAATTAAATAAAAAATTAATGAAAAAATTGTAAAAAATGTAAATGATTTTGTTTTATTTACCCGTAAGGTTGCGCAAATAATTTCAAAAATTAATCTTCGCATCGGCATTAAATAAGAATTTTTTTTTCATTTGTTAATTTTTGTAAAAATCTATCTATTAATTATAACTTTATTTTTTAGAATACAATATTATGAAAATTATATTTTTAAAGTTTTTTTAATTCTTGGTTATTATTTTAGTTAAAATTATTAATTTTTTTATTTTAAAATAAATCCATAAAAAAATTTACGTTTTTTTAAGCAAAAAATTTATAAAAAAAACATTAAATAATTAATTAATTAAAAAATTAAAAAATTTTAAATTGATTTTTTTTTTTTTTTTACTGGACTCACATCATAGCACGGACAAATGACTAGTTAAAACTATTTTAGTTGGGCTGGTTGGCCTTCTTCGATCAATAGTTGTCTTTTCTTTTTTCTGCAATGAATTATTATCTTGAACAGATAGATAAACAATTTTTCTTAGATGGTAAACTAGCAATTGAAAAGCTTAGAACTATCACTAATTTGTAAGATTGAAATCCTAACCATTGATACTCAATCAATAATTTGGATAATAGGAAAGGATGTCAATCTAAGAAGTAATCTTCTCTCTTTTCCTAATTAATACACCCCAATAGATGTCTTTTACCACTAATTAGGGGTCAGCATCAACCATTCTATTTTTTAATTTTTAAGCCTTTTTTTTTTTTTTAATGAAGTTTCATGTTAAAAAAAATCATTTAAATTGGGTAGCCGTTGAATCAGATTAAATTACCACATCTAATCAATTGTGTAACAGATTATATTTTGTTAAGGGTAAAGATATAGTAGCAAAAATTAAAAAGAAAAATCAATCAAATTATTTGAACGGGCACCTTACAATAAGTAGATAATCTAGGCCTGAAAGACAACAGAACTGTCTGTTTTTTAGAAGAGAAAACAGGTTAGGTCTGCTAAAGTTCAATAACAAGTTTCCTTCTCAGAAAAGACGAATAAGAAGTGGAAATTTTTTAAAGTTCCATGAGCAAAACTTCCATTAAAAACTTCCACGTCGCAGAAAGCAATACAGCAAAGAGTGATGCAATGGTAAGTTTTTCCACCAATTGCCCAAACACTGCTTTAAAGTTCAAGTAGGTATACATTTCTTTAGCTTTTCTTTCTGTTTTGGGTGGAACTTCAAATACCTACCACAATTTATTTTAATGTTATCCTCAAACTATACATCAATTAATGAAACTCATCCACGTCATGATCAATAAAAAATTGCCGACTCAATTTCTCTAGATAGAAAACTCGATATATCTCTTCTTAATTAATATTGTTCTTTCTCATTATTAAAGGATTGGTGCCTTGAAAAATTATACATTATCATCATTAATTTGAATGGTTCTCGTAAAATTTATCTGTTAGACTGACATATATATAATTTGCTTTACAAATTAAAATTAATTGTTAGAGACTTTCCAGTAGCGTAAGTACCTGGTGTAATTTTTTAATATATCACTTTCATATTTCCATTTCAATAATAGTAATTGAAGCAGAAAGAAACATGGTTTGATCGAACTTATCAAGACTGAGCCATTAATTTCGCAAGAACCTGACTAATCTAAAAGATGATCGTAGTTCATTGACTTGGATGGTATTGCCAGCTCTTGAAATAGACGTACCCATCACATTCATGACGGAATTATCAACTATCTACTGAAAAAACCATACCAGCTCTTCGAACAAACTAATCATCTCATTTTATGAGAAATGCCTATCATTCGATAGGAGGAAAATGACATCGGACATTAATCAATTACCATATCGGAGCCTACATAATTAATTTGGTGCTGAATTTGTAAAGGAAGTTATTGAGAACTAATCAAACAACTGATCAATAGGTCAATTAAGATATAGATAGCTAATGTTGATGATTTGTAGAAATAACATTCAATTAATTAAACAGAAATGATGTAAATAGTGAGAAGCATCGGATGAGAAAGATGCAATACTAGGAAGAAGCAAGTTGTTTGACTGACATGTGAGTCAAGATTCAAACAAGTGAAGTTTTAGGGGTTGTCTGATGTGTAAATGAAAGAGCTTTAAGATGAAGAATTTGAGTTTTTTTTTTTACTAAATATTAAAAATTCTAAAGTCAAAAGTTTTAGAATCATGTCACGTCATATAAGTTTAGAAAGTCAAATTTGGCTTAAAGAGTTTAAGTTTTTTGAACTAAACCGTTTTAACATGCTAGTAAAAAATAATTATGTATTTTTTTTAACAATCCTATTCCGAATCTACCAAACCAATTTACCTAATGCATTCCAAAAATAAAATATGAATACCGATCATGTCGGAACATCCGTATCCATCCTTACAATCTATAATCTTGTATTGAATTAAACTCATCTTCAATTCAATTTATTTACGAGTATAGTTTTGATCCATGTCAAAAAAAAAAATTGACATGGATTAACATATAATAGCAAAATAGCTAAGTTATTTAATTAATTTTATAAACAAATGGAACCTATACAAAATTATTCCATGAAAACATGCTTATCCTCTTAAGTTTATAAAATGTAAATGCTTTTGTATCTTTGTTTCCATCATTAACATATAACAAGGTTTAAATTAGTTGTCTTGTGCTCATAATTAGTGATGATATGTTATTACTAATCAAATAAAAGGCGGTTGGTCGGCTTCCAATCATGTAGTGCTCCCCCATTCATATGGGTCCCATGGTCGGTGCCGGCTATGATGCTTATTGCAAAATTTAGCATAGTAAAGCACCAGTGGCCCTATATATTTGAACCATGCCCGTGAAATCATGAGTGCAGCCCAAGAAAACACACACAAGAACTTGAGCCAGCTAGCTATATATCGTGATAGTTAATCTAGTAATTAAGTTTAATTAGTCTAAAACTGCTGATCAGTGATCAAGAAAGAATGGTGAAGATAGATTTTGGCAGTCTTGGTGACTCTTTCAGTTTTGGCTCCCTCAAGGCTTATCTGTCTGAGTTCATTGCCACTCTTCTTTTTGTGTTTGCTGGTGTTGGATCGGCTATCGCTTACAGTAAGTACTGGTCCAATCATAGGATTTTCCACATAATCATGTCTGCAAAAACTAGAAAAGCAAATAAAACTCTCACATATATTGGAATTTTGAAGTACATAAAGTAAAAAAAAGACCATGTGGAAAAATATGCAGAGTTCACCAACAAAATGGTCCTAATGCTATGCTCGTAAATTAACATGTTATATGGTTTAGTTTTTAATTCCGGTTATATATATATATATATATATATATGCAAATATTGTGATACAGCAAGTGCAAAAACAAAATTATATTGCATTTTGTCTACGAGACAATAATTATCTAATCCGAAAGTAATTTAAGAATGAATATGTATATACTAATTTTTGCTTCCATATGGTATAGATAAGCTCACAACAGATGCAGCCTTAGACCCACCTGGCCTTGTTGCGGTGGCAGTGGCTCATGCATTTGCACTGTTTGTGGGAGTCTCCGTAGCAGCAAACATTTCAGGCGGCCACTTAAATCCAGCTGTCACCTTTGGACTGGCCATCGGAGGCAACATCACCATCCTTACTGGCCTGTTGTATTGGATTGCTCAATGCCTCGGCTCCATTGTCGCATGCCTCCTCCTCAAAGTCGTCACTAGTGCTGAGGTAAAACACCAAAATTATGCATACAGAACGTTCTGAAACATGGAACCCTACGAAGATAAATGAATTACCAGTAACAATTCCCTTCATCCATCATTAAATTCTTTCGGTTGATACGTGATGCTTCTTTGGAAATTAGCATCGGAAGTATTAAAATTTACCGACAGAATTGTGTGGGTAACTTTTTTTTTATTATTTTTTTCATTTTTGGTAAATTTTCAAATATTTTCAGATGTTTCTGTTTTTACTATTCCAGTGGATTAATTTACTTCGGCTCTTGACTAATCACTGCTTATTCCAATAATACTAATCATAAATAATTTATGCAGAGCACGTCGAGAGAAGTAAGTCCTAATGCAATTATTTAATAATCACGGGGAAATTTTAATTAGTTATCCACTTTTTAAAGTCCCTGCCACAACTATTTTAAGGCTAGCTAGGATTAGGTTAAACTCACTATTTGCATACTGTGTTTTCATTAATTAAATAAATAAGTATTTTTGTTTTTAATTTGGTTGATTAAATATTTATATTTTTAATTTTAGTCAATTCAATATGATTTTAAAAAATTGATAATTTTATACATTTAAGTCAAGTGAAATAATAATATAACCCTATACAGAGTGAGATCAACATGTTGTGTGTGTGTATATATATATATACATTATATTTTTCTTTGATTTAATGTTTAAAAATTATCAATTTTATAAAATAGTACTCAAATGACTGAAAACAAAATACGCATATTTAATTGACTAAATTGAGAATACAAAGATTTATTTGATTAATTTGTGAAAACACATGGTGCAAATTGTCATATATATATATATATATATATATATATATATATATGCTATCCATACAATTCTAATAAATCTCCAGTTAATTATCTTTGACAATATCAAAATCCAAAATTGTCAAAACTGTTTTATGGGATTTCACAGAGCGTCCCAACCCACGGAGTTGCTTCAGGGATGAATGCCATTGAAGGAGTGGTGATGGAGATTGTCATAACCTTTGCACTTGTCTACACTGTCTATGCCACAGCCGCAGACCCCAAAAAGGGCCCCATTGGAATTATAGCACCCATTGCAATTGGGTTCATTGTTGGTGCTAACATACTTGCTGCTGGCCCATTCAGTGGTGGTTCGATGAACCCAGCTCGCTCATTTGGCCCAGCTGTGGTCAGTGGAGACTTCTCGCAGAACTGGATCTACTGGGTGGGCCCACTCATTGGAGGTGGATTGGCTGGGCTTGTTTATGGAGATATTTTCATTGGGTCTTATGCCCCAGCCCCAGTTTCTGAAGAATATGCCTGACGAGTTGCATAGGCTTCGTGTTACCTCGTGAATTGTGATTTGCTTTCTTGGTTTTTGGGTTAGTTTGGGTCAGTTAAAAAATTCTCTGTACCTGTTGTGGATTTTATCTGATCAGATAAAATTGCCTTTCAATTTTATTAATGCTATCCTTCTCAAATGAGTTTTGCAAATAATATCGATCATTAATGGGTTGAAAGGTGTTACATGATCATAGAGATCATTATTTGGTTGTTAAAAATTGTAAAATTATCATTCCAAAGTAAATAGCATTACTAAAATCTAGGAAATCAAATATCAGTCAGTCTCATTTGAATGCATTGCTGCATCAAGGAGGAACGATACGATCAAGTGCCAACTATGAAGCGTGCCACATCAACGGTGATTGACATAATTGCTTGGAAAAACATTCCTTAAAACCATGGAAAAGATTGAATTTGTATTGGGAGAATTAATGTTTAATGTATCTTAATTTGTAAAGTGAACTAATAAAAAAGCACCAAGAATAAATTTAATGGCAAATCAAAAGATTTTTCTTCAAGAAAATCTCAAAGAACATGATTTGATTTTTTTATAAGAAAAGTGTATTGTATTGCTATCAAATGGACTCTTGTTGTCTTTGTATTAGTCCTACAAGTGTATTTGCTTTAAATCTAATTAATAACGACTACTTCGTAGCAAGGGCAAATAACACTTTAAAAATAATGAATCTTCACGTCATAAAAACACATGTTGAACATCAATTCTCGCAACCCAAATTTCACCTTTCCCATTGTTTTAACTTTTGTTTTCCCCAATAATTTGAAAGTGTTATTTGTTGATGGCTTTTTTGGTACATCCATCATTGATCAGATGTATGGGACCCAACTTCTTGAGATACATATATATTCACAACAACAAAGACTGATATAACATTAGTCACAGAAACCAGATACAAACAGACTAAGCAGTTAATGGAGTTGTCGGATTTATTTGTTTAATTTCAAAACATATTCCAAGACCATCATCGCACTCATGGGGTCCGTACATGGAGTTGTCACACTAATTATAACAAAAGATTCCGCAAGTCAGCTATTTCCTCGAATAGGAAAGCACAATCTTCCATTCTTTCCGACTAGTACAGTTCAACAGTGTATGATTTGAAGAATTGAAATATCAATTTTAATTTTGCTTTTTATCTTAATTTTTTTTTTATAAAAATACAATTAATTTATTTTAGTATTTTGATTTTGGTTCGATTTGTGAATTTTCTAGTTTCGGTTTTTTTTTTTGAATTTTTTTAGAATAATATTAATTTCTATTTTTATTAGAATTTTAATAATTTGATTTACAATATATATAAACAATAAATTATTATTTTATTATTATATATTCTTAATGTGAATGAATAAAATTATTATTTAGATTTTGATATTTTAATTTATATTATGACTCTGTACTTTAATCTTATTTAAACAAATATTTATTATCTTATATATAGGTTAATCTATATTACTTGAGTTAGAGAAAGGTCTCCATAGTACACAATATAATTTTTTGATCTATTTTTATTATTTTATTTTTAAAAAAAATAAAAAAACTTTTTAATTGTAAAATCAAATCCAAAAACAAAAAATTAAAATAATAATGCGATTTGAGTTCGACTTTTTTGTTGATAAATTTAGTTAATTAAGAATCAAAAGTAAAACAAAAAACCGAAAATTCACCTCTATTGTACTTATTTAATTAATCTATCAAAAAACTTACCAAATATACCACTAAAAATCCACTACTATTGTGCTTATTTAATTTATTACACTAATAAACCTATTTTTACAAACCCTAATAGAAAAATGTTTTTTTTTCCCCTAACATGGAATTGGCATTTTTCTTTCTTTTTTTCCCTCCCCAATGCGTGGTCCATCCATTGAAAGTTCGGTTTTGCACATAGAGACGCCTTAGCAACTTTCAACAGCAGCTGGCATGAAAGCGAAGCATTGTTGGGAATCATGTGTTTGGGGAATAGACAAAGAAGATAATAATGATAATTTAAAGTGTGAAAAATATTTCTCTTTAAATCCATTATGCAATTCATATATGGTTCATGGCAAAAACACTTTTAAGATACAATAAAATTCTATAAATTTAATATATACTAATCCAAATATTTTTTTCTAGAACTTTACAAATGAATATTGTCTTTGTAGAGAAAAGAGAATAAAAATTTGTACTATATTGATTGTTGTTTTTATACGATCATTTAAACACTTATTTATATGTTTTTGAATAGATAAAAACCTTTTGGGGCACCCCTTAAAAGAGTTGACCAACCAAAACTAATCATTGCAAATTCAAAAGAAACCATTTGGCGAGAGAAAAAAAAAAAAAAAGCATCAATCATATGTTCCCTAGCATGTTAGAACAAAAAATATATTTTTTAGTGTGGGATGGCTACTAAAAAAATACAGGGATTAGATTGACGAGTAAAACTCAAGAAGAAACAAGTATTATAGCTTCAACAACCCATAATTTTTCATTTGACTGTTCGATTAGAATTTGTAAGCTCAACTAGAAAAGTTGATTTAGAATTTTACAGCACATGGATGTTGCAAACTCTTCCTCAATTCATGCCAGATTGTGCTATATATTTATTTTGAATACTTGTGGTCCGTTTGAAGTTTATTTTATTTTATTTTTTATTTTGCCTTTAGTAAGTTAGAATGGACTACTTAAATTAGTTTTGTTGACCTGTTTACGCCAATTATAAAATGAATAAAAATTTCAAACTTATGTGTTTTGTTTTTTAAGATTTTTCCATTATCTTCGCTATACATTCCCTTATTCCTCAGATAATAGAGTTATTTAATTATGTTTATTTTGTCTGATTAAGTAAGTAGATTTTAACGTATGAATTGACGTAACAGTAATTTTTTTATAGGGAAAAAAAAACGGTAGAAAGATAAGTAAGTTAAAGAAAAATTTTATAATACATGAGAAGAGTAATTAGTATACTTTTCAAATATTCTGCAGTGTTGACTTGCCTCTGGCAACATAATGCCTCCAATGCTATATAAAAAAGTAATATACTAACAATACGATGCAGATGTGGGCTCTCCTGAAAGTTCATAACAAAGAACAGAAGATGCAGAGTTTCAAAGCCCTGATGCATACTTTAAACAAGACTACTCCTTTAGCCTTTCTTAGAAGAAGCCTTTACTCTTCACTCAAGAATGCTACAAGTAGTTGTGAAGATCTGGACAGCTCGGTGACTTTTCAAGAATTGCATCTGTATTAATGCATAGAAGTACGTTTACATGATGCATTTTAATTAGGTGACTTCTCATTGTTCTTTCAGGTACTGGTTGAAGAAGGAACAAATTCAAGAACTGTAATCCTTAATAGACCCCACGTCCTTAATGCTCTTACCACTCCAATGGTATGATTATGGAAAACATTTTTCACTTCCATATTTGTATTCAAAATCCCAGATGCTATTCTTGCTAATTAGTTTTCTTTTCATGTTTAGGCATATACTCCTAGCAATTCTATATATCAAATATTTTTCTTTCCCTTGTTCTATTTTCGGTTGGTGCATCTTTTCAAGTAGTCATACTCAGTAAAGGAAATAAGTACATCTGGGTTTTTTGATGCTATAATTATCAGGGACATCGGCTTACTAAACTGTATGAGTCCTGGGAAAACGATCCCCTTGTTGGTTTTATTGTGCTGAAGGTAAGCTTTTGTTTTCCCGTTTTAGTTTCACTAAACTGTGTATTCTGCTTCATTGTTACACCATACATAGCTCCTTAGCCCCTCAACTACCAGTCTACCATGTTTTTGAGTCTTTTTGTAGGGGAATGGCAGAGCATTTTGTGCTGGTGGAGATGTTGTTAGACTATATCGGTTAATCAATGAAGGTAGATGACGGTTTGGAAATTATTATTATTATTATTATTATTTAATTTTTTAACTATAGCAGAATTAGGATTCTAATCCTCAAATATTAAGCCCCAAAATTTCAACTTGCTAATAATTGGGTTTTAAAATTTAATCACACATCTTTTTCCTAGCTGCACTATCCACCTACTATTTTTATCCGGTAAACACAACTAATGGTGAGTTTTTACCGTGAATTATTTTCTTGGATAATTAATTTAAAGACGAAAGTACTTGTCTCTTCCAAGATTTCTTTACCTTTCCAGATTTCAGAATCATAGTGGGTACCTGCTGCTAGCTGATGGCCATCTTTTTATTCTGTTTTGCTGCTATCTACAGGAAAAATTGAAGAATGTAAAGAATGTTTCAGGACATTTTACAGTTTCATGTACCTTTTAGGCACATATTTGAAACCACATGTGAGTCTTCTCCTAAACTTCTAGTAAAATGATTAAATTGTGCTAGAAGAACATTTCTCGTTGTTCAATTTGTATGTGAATAGAGAATAAGTTTTTCTTTAAGGAAGCACTTTCATCATGTGCTTGATATATTTAATTTTTTTTTGGGTTTACGGTATAATTAATCCTTATACGGTTTTAATTTTTTTGATTGAGATCCTCTATTATTTTTCAACTTCATCAAAACCTTCTACTCTTATAAATTTATTGATTGAAACTCTCCGTTATAACACTATTAACTATTCATCCCATGTGACGTTTTAAAAATAATAGTAGTTAATCACGAATTGACATGTGAAAATGTAGATAAAAAAATTTATCACGTGTTGTTATCCGATTGGCTACCGTCAGTTTTAATTTGTCACGTATGATAAATAGCTAACGGTGTTATAATAAAGGATCTCAATCAGTAAATTTAATTAAAAAAATGAAACTATACAGAGAGTAATTATGAGGTAAACTCAAATTTTTTTAATAAATTTTGATGAATAGTGAATATTGATCTTAAAATTTGAATACAAAAATATAAATGAAAACAAACTTTTTTAATTGTTAATAATCAAACAAAAATTAAACATATTTTAGTATTAGTTTAGCTTAAATAATAAAAAAATTAGATTCCTTTGATAC